ATGGGTATTTTCTGCCAATTACCCCCACAGCAATTCATTATCAAATTCAAACAATGCCAACCATTTTATTGAGGATTTTGCTTGCATACAATCTCCTCAGCAGGATTCTTCTTTACTTAGTACCCAATCCCAACAATCTCCTCGAAGAACCCATTTCACCTTCTCCTCGACTTCGCCGTCGAATGGATGCCGCTGAACTCAAAAGGGCTTTTGAAACGTTTAATCAAATCGGAGATGGACGGATCACCAAAAAGGAGCTCAACGATTCCTTAGAGAAAATGGGTATTTTCAAACTTGACATGGAGTTGATTCAAATGATAGAGAAAATCGATGTTAATGAAGATGGATGTGTGGATATTGATGAATTTGATTCTTTGTACCAAACAATAATGAACGAGAAGGATGAGGATGAATATATGAGCGATGCATTCGATGTGTTTGATCAAAATGGTGATGGGTTTATAAGCGTTGATGAACTGGAAGCAAGGAAGGACTACAGAGATGGAGGAGGCCGAGGGAGAAGAGACATGTTTTTATTTTTAATATTTTCATAAGTTTTGGACTCAATTTCACTTTTAAAAAGTCTAGGTTTAAGATTGCAATTTATTCTTTATGGTTCTTTTCTTTTCCTTTTTTGTTTTATTTAAATTGGAGNTGGGTATGGTTACAATTTGTTCTTTATAGTTCTTTTCTTTTTCTTTTTGTTTTATGTAAATTGGAGGGTATATCGGTCATTTTATGTCAAAAATTAGGGAAAATGACGTTTTGTGCAAGAAAAATGAAAGGTAAGGACGTTCTGCACCAAAAAACGAAAGGTATGGACGTTTTCCACAAGAACAGGTAAAGGTAGGGACGTTTTGCGCCAATTACCCAATCTATAATTAACATTTTTTCACATAATTCGTCACAATCTTTAAATTATGTATCAAACCTCGTCATTCCCTCTATTTTATCCATTAAATGACGATTTTCTCTTTCTCTTTAAATAAATAAACATATAAAAAGTTGCAAAATAACGAAAATTAAGAAAATATTGTAAATGGAGTTCTATAATAACTTCTAAAAAGTACAAATAAATCATATTTAAAAATTATTATATACATATTAACACATCAAAAGAACTTCTGTCATCCCCAAGGACCCCATGACCCATCCAAGCTCACCCACGCATCCTGTCACTTGTCAGCACCCACACTATCTAATCTCTGCTGTATTTTTCGTTACATTATTATGCCTTTGTTTGTTGCTCATTAGTAAAAGAAAAAGAATCGTTGGAACTGTAATCCATCCTACCATTTTTAACAATTTGTGTCTTGTTGGGACCCCACCAACTTTGCAAAAAAGGGTCCTATTTTTTCTATTAATGGAAAAGAAGTTGGAACAAACAGAGACTATATCACATTTTTGCGCAGTGACTATCTTATCATCATTCTCTTCGAATGAAAATAATTTATTCATTTTATTGCCAAACTTTCTAAAATCCGATGAAAACCCCGTTGTGTTACAACATTTGGAAAAATGAAAGAAGATTCTTAGTAAACTATGGATGTAA